ACACATCCTCGACATCAANCAGCAACGTTCTCAACAACAACAACAACAACAACATCCTTAACAACAACAACAACATCAACAACGTCATTAAAATTCTCGATAATAGCAACAACCTCAGAATTAGTACGAAAAACAAAAATGACACAGACAAACTTAAAAACAACAAACTGAGATCTAAATCGTCAACGAGAATGGGGAATGACGTAAACAATTACGTCATCAACAACAACAACAACATCAACAACAACAACAATATCAACAACAACAAAAACGTCCTTAACAAAGTCCTCAACAATACATTACGTAGCGCTTCAGCTGACGTTTTAAGGCCCCACAACAAAAGCAAAAATAAAAATAATAATAATAATAACTTCTATAAACATAACAACAACAATAATAATAATAATAAGCATGACTTAGGGTTTCACAACAGAATTAATAAATATCATCTGGTTTGTAACCTAACTCTCATTGCTACATTAAAATTAATATTATTATTAATGTTATTATTAATAATGTTATTATTATTAATGTTAATTAATTAATTATTATTAATTAATAATAATTTATATATAAATATTTATATTAATAATATTATTAATTAATAATTATTAATAAATTATTATCATTATTTATTATAATTATTATTATTATTAATGTTACGTTTATTATTATTATTGTTATTGTTATTATTATTATTATTATTATTATTATTATTATTATTATTATTATTACACTTTTTACCATAGGAACCATTAACTAAAGAAGCATTCGCCATTTTCGGCTCGGGAATAAAGTGAGTAAAAATAGTTACTGATTACTGATTTCATTTACAATTTACTTACAACCTATTTACATATTCGTTTACAGGATTATTAATTCAACTGCTATTGGTAGTGTTTTGTAATGTAATGTAATGTAATATAATATAATGTAACGTAGTGTAATGTAATGTGAATTTTGGTAATGTTAAACTAATATTACAAACTGAGATTTTCGCTTCAAACCATTTTGGATGCAAGATAAGGGCGAAGATCTTGTTGCGTTCGAACCTGGTCGTTGCGAAAGAGATTCAGGCACACATAACCACTACACTAATTAATTTATTATTCATTAATATAGTTTCAATTTCGCCAAATATAAAGTTAAAAAAATAAACAAAAAGTTAGCGCTGTAATTAAACCCTAGGTATAAAACAGCATCTAGCGGCTCATTGAACACGTCATCACCTCTCAACCAATCATCTTCAGCCATTACTACTTACACTTCCGGCATCGATAGTGATGATAATGATGGTGGTGGTAGTGATAATGATGACGGTGGTGGTGGTGGCGATGATGATTATGATGGTTACAATGCGGTGGCGAAGAGATTTAATAAAAAAAGATTCTTACCGCCAATAAATAGTAATAATAATAACATCAACAACATTAATAATAACACTAATAAGAATATGTATAAAAATAGGCAAAACAACAATAACAACAAACTCTACAACAGTAATTTCAACAACAACAATAATAATAATAATTTGATTGACATATATGAAGAAAGCGATAATAACAATAATAATAATAAATTAAAATACCATTGCGAATATTCTAGAATGATAAGAAATCATTATCACCGCTACATATCCGTGAGTTGTGAAAGAATGAATGAATGAATGAATGAACGAACGAACAAACGAACGAACGAACGAATGAATGAATGAATGAATGAATGGACGGATGGATGAATGAAGAAATAAAATTATATTGGTTATAAATTATAACTCCTAACAATTGAAGGTATCAAAACATTTACGAACGAAAGAGTTGGTGGCCGAGTTGGAAAATTTCAACCAGCCAATAAACGTGAAAAAATATAACGGTATAATTATTTTTACTATTAATTATTATAATAATTAATATATATTATTGTTATTATTATTATTTAGTATACTTTTTATTATAATATTATTTTTATTTTATACAGATTTACTCTCATTCCATTAAATTAAAAGAAGGTCAAACTATTTTTCGCGACGAAACTTGAAGATGTGTTTGTGAGTGTATGTGTTTGTGTGTGCGTGTGCATGTGTGTTTGTGTGCGTGTGTGTGTTTGTGTGCGTGTGTGTGTTTTTGTGTGTGCGTGCGTATGATATTCATTATTTTATTAACGCGAGAAGAACATTGATTTATTTTACCGTCGACTGGGTATTTTTTTAAATCATAACTAGGCGAGAAACACACGTACAAATACACGTGCACGTACACACAACACACACACACACGCACACAAAACACACTATATTTGTATCGTCCGTATTAAGTTCTACCGATAGTATAACATTTTATAGCATAATATAAAAGCCGAATTGAAAATACAAATCGAGATAATTGAACTTTTAATGAAATAAATGCATAAACAAGAATCGTCATCATCGTCGTCATCATTTTAATCACCATCATCATCATTATCATCATCATTAATCATCATCATTAATCGTCATCATCATTAATCATAATAATTATAATAATAATTGATAGACACACTAAGAATAGAGCTTTTATAAGTTTATATGTATGGCATAATCTCAAGTCAATATGTATGTATCTATGTGTGTGAAATAATCAAGTATATATATATATATATATATATATATATATATAATGTCTAATATGTATAAATAAATATATATGTATAGGTACAAACATGATATATATATATATATATATATATATGATATATATGTATCATGTATATATAATAATTTCACTTTGATATATCAACATTGTTATCAGTTGACTCTATGGGTATATGTTATAATCAATCAGATCTGTGGCATCATCATCGTCGTCGTCATCATATTAATCACAATCATCCATCAATTAATTCATAAGCGGGTGTTAGATAGTCCCTGGGAACGAGGCCCACCTGGTCGCCCAACTCAGCCACCCACCATCCGAAATTGTCGAACTGTTGACTAAGTACCGTTAACACGTCGCCTGGTGATGATGACGGAGATGATGATGATGAGGAGGAGGAGGAGGATGATAATGATAAGTGAGATGAACATGATTATAATGAAACATGCAAGCCAAGAAACTTACCAACCATTTGTAATCAAGCGGGACCACGTGACCAAACTTTACCAGCCAATCATATCGACAAACTTCTCATCAACTAACCAGCCAATTAGAACGTACCGACTAATCACAGCCAACCAATCGTCAACCAATCACAACTTACTAACCACATTTAAACGTAAGTTCTTCTTTGCTATCACCAGAGCAAGCAAACTTCCCAAAGTACATCTTTTCAAAGGGCGGATAGCCATTGCAAGAAACCACAATGGTTGGCTGTGAATTTTCAGGGACTGCCGCGGGTCCCCCCGGCGAATTGTTAGAGGCCGCGGGAGATTTCAACGGGTTCGCTGAAGATTTCAAAGAAAGAATGGGAGGGGTCGTTATAGATTTCGGGAGTAAAATAGGGCCCGCGGAAGATTTCAAAGGTGTTTTTGGTAACGGCGTGACGTCATTGTCGTTTTTATAGGCTGTGTTGTTTTTCTTGGGCACTCCTTGATTGTCTTTCCTGAAGTCGATGTTCTTCATGGGAAGGGTAGTGATGCTTTGTTTGTTGTTTTCGTTGAAATCTGCAATGTCATCATATAACTCTCCATCATCATCTTCGTCATTATTGCTATCTCTATTGTTATTGTTGTTATTTTTATTGTTGTTGTTGTTTTCTGGATTGATGTCGTCGTACAACTCCTGCGGGTTTAACTCATCATCATCATCAGGAATTATGGAAGGTGATTCTTCAGTGAAAGATAAAAAAAAATAAAGAAATGGATAGACGAATGGATGAATGAATGAATAAATGGATAAATGAATGAATAAATCAATGAATGAATGAATGAATTAGTGAATGAATGATGAATGAATGAATTAGTGAATGAATGATGAATGAATGAATGAACAACCAAACGAGTAAATAGATAAGTAAAATAATGGCAGCAATAGTAATAAAAATAAAAGCAAAAACCCAAACATTAATGATAAAAACAACAGCAACAATCTTTTATTCAGCAATGAAATCAATAAAAATAGCAGTACAAATGAAATGAAATAAAATGTCAAATGCAATAAATAAATAAATAAATAATAATAATAAAATAATAATGATAATGATAATAATAATAATAATTATAAAGCTCTACGAACTGGATTTCCTGATCTCTGTGTTTGCCAGTAGCATCTCGCTGGTATCCTCATAGGGTTCCTCAACTTCATCGTAATCCACCTCGTCCTTGCATTCACTTGCGTCGGAGTGTGTGCCTTAGTGAAGTTATGAATTAATGATATACGATCGATCCTTTGAAAATTTTCAATCAAATTAACCAGCCAATCAAAGCCCCAATCAAACAACAAACCAGCCAACTAATTAATCAATCAATCAACCAATCAATCAACCAAAAAACCAACCAATCAACCAACCAATTAATCAATCAATCAACCAGTCAACCAACCAATCAATTAATCAGCCAATCAATCAATCAACCAATCAACCAACCAATCAATTAATCAGCCAATCAATTAATCAACCAATCAATCAACCAATCAACAAACTTGGAGGAATTTTTTTTGCCTCAACGCGAATAACGTCAACCCACGAAGTCATTTCCTCGTTAGTATTTGCAGTGAACTTTTAAAATTTGAAAAAAACTGAAATAGTTTAGTGTCCTAAGCTAAAATTTCATAATCTCTATGGCGCTTTCTATAATTACAATACTATAAGTATTTATGTTAACAATGATCTCAATCAAATCATTAAAAAATCATTCAGCCAGCCATTCAGTCAACCAACCAGCTAGCCAATCAACCAACCAACCAATCAATCAATTAACAAATCAATTAATAATCAATAAATTAATCAATTACACAATCAATGGGCCAACCAATAAACCAACCAGCCACACTTACGTAATGTGATTTTTTTCCCGGAGAATGAAGGTCGAAACAGAATTCTTTTTTATTGGCATGTTTCTCCGATACTCTTACTTCATAGCCTGGTTGCATAAAGAATTAAAGATATATACACACACACACACACACGTACACATACACACACACACACACACATACAAGCAAACATACAAAGACGCATGCAAATATACCTCTAAGATCAATTACCAAGGATGTTTTTTTGGAATTCATGTAGTCATATACGTTCAACTTTCCATCGCCAATCATGCAATACTTTCGGGTATTTAAAATTTTTGACAAAAAATTGCTCTGTTTTGGACCTGAAATTGTTAAAATAATTTTATTGATTCATTCATTTATTCATATACTTTTCATTCTTTCAATCGTTCGTTCATTTACTCTATTCGTTCACTCATCTATTCCCTCATTCATTCATTCATTCATTCATTCATTCATTCATTCATTCATTCATTCATTCATTCATTCATTCATTCATTCATTCATTCATTCATTCATTCATTCATTCATTCATCCAGTCACTCATTCATTCACTCATCTAGTCACTCATTCATTCATTCATCCAGTCACTCATTAATTAATTCATTCATCTATTTATTCGTCAATTCGTCAGTTTTTCATGAATTAGGAGACTAATTCATCCTGTCATACATTCATTCATTACTCATTCATCCATCCATCTATTTATCTATCAATTCATCCGTCATTCATTCGTTCATCATAATAAAATAATGATAATAATAATAATAATAAATAATCCAACCAACCAGCTCTTTGTATGAGGTAGCCCTTTATCGTTGCAGATATGCCTTGGGGCGCCGAAGTTTTACCTAGCAAAATAATAAGAAATTAATATAATAACAATAATAATAATAATTATTATTATTAACTATTTGTTTAGTGCATGAATAATAAGAAAAAAGGAGAGAGAGAGAGAGAGAGAGAGAGAGAGAGAGAAAGAAAAGAGGGAGAGATTTTGTTTAACATTATAACACCATTTTTGTTACCGCGTCATTATTATTATCTGCGTTAACCCAGAAAAATTAGAGAGAGAGAGAGAAGAGAGAGTGAGTGAGAAAGAAAGAAAGAGAAGGAAAACAAAGGAAGGATTGACAGTGAAAGAGAGAGAGAGAGAGAGAGAGAGAGAGAGAGAAATGAAGAAAAAGGAGGACAAAAGAAGGGATGACAGTGAGAGAGAGAGAGAGAGAGAGAGAGAGAGAAATAAATATTTTAGCATTCGTTATATTGTATCGTCATTTGCATTTTCGTATCTTTTATTATTATCATTGATGCTGCTATAAAGATTATAATTATTATTATTACCATAATTATTATTATCATCATCATCATCATAATTGTTATTATTATTATAATTTGCACAGTAATCTAAATAAAACTATAAACATTGCATAATAATTATAAATACTTTTGAAATATCACCAATAGGTTTTTATAATAATTTTAATCTTTCACTTTTTAAAATTTTGTGGCCGGATTCTTTCAACGATGAATTGATAGAGACTGTTATAAAGCTATCGTATGGCATATATTGTGACAGAAACAATTCGTGATATATATTTGAATATACTTCACCGCTACGTACTTTTCTAAAAAATGAGCATTGTGGCAATCATTGACATTTTATTACATTTTATTACATTATTGTGACATTTCATTATTTTATTTTCATACTTATTTATTGTCTTTGCTTTGAAATAAAAGAGTTCTCATTATTATTATTGTTATTATTATTTTACTCTTCATTTTTATTCGAGCTGGGAAAATACGTTAACTAGTTTATAATTATTGTCATTTTATTATTATAACTACATTATTGTATATAGTGATAATAATTATTCTGTGGCCTGTTAGCTGTGTGTAATAATAAAAATGATAATAGTTAATTACTTAGCATCTCTTACTCGTGGAACTATTCACATGTATGTGTGTATGTATGTGTGTATGTACGTATGTATGTGTGTGAGTGTGTTTGTGTATTTATGTGTACTGTACATGTATGGTAAATTGCTAGAGAGCGATTGGTAAATTATCTTCAGAAGTTTTTATGTATGTTTTGTTTACGGATATGTGTATGTGTTATGTGTGTGTGTGTGTGTTTGTGTGTGGGGTGTATGTGTGTGTGGGGACGTGTTGAATTTGTGAGCTGCATGTATGATGGAGTGTCCAGTTTAGTTAATAACCTTGTTCTCGGTTTACATTGCTCAGAGAATTTGAAGAAGAAAAGTTTGTGTGGTTGCTGTTGTTGCTGCTGTTGATGCTGCCGCTGTAGTTGTCGTTACTGCTGCTACCGATGTTGTTGTTGTTCGTGACGTCATCGTAATACTCTTCGTCATCTTCGTCTTCAGATTTTTTGTTGCTCAGTGATGAGCTAGCTGTTACGTTAAAGAGTAAACATTTAAATGTGTTCGTTTGTTAGTCAGAGCAAATGTATCTTCATTCTTGCATTTTCATTCTCTTCTTCATAGCAAACTCACCATCAACGTCATCATCATCAATATCGTCGTCGTCGTCTTCGTCATCATTGTCATCGCTATCATCATCATCATGAAAAACATCACCAAATAATTTTAATCTTCCGTACATTTTTGATCTTTGGATATGGCGGCCAATTCCGGAAATTTTTCTGTGAGTTTTTGAAGTTTATTCTGCACGTCAATCCTCTCCCTGTCGACATTTTTCGGCAGGCCGGCCCCAGCTAGTGAATCGCATAGAAATATCGACAGATCTTTAAAGAAATAATTAACATAATAATAATTATAATAAAATAATAATAAGAAGAAGAAGAGGAAGAAGAAGAAAAGGAAAAAGAAGAGAAAAAAGAAGAAGAACAACAACAATAAATAATAATAAATGATGATGATTAACAACTTTTGTGTCAGTCATTCTAAGTTAAAATATAGCATTGTTTGTTAGAGAAATTTTAATTTCAATGTGCTGTATTTCAGTCCAGTCAAATTTATAATTCTAACATTGTAGTATTTTTGAGCGTGTATAAGTTGTATTTGTGTGTTTGTATGTGCTTTTAGCTATAATATGTATCTATTGATGTATGTACAAACGTAAATGAGTGTGAGTGTGTTTATTTGTATGTATGTATGTATGTGTTATGTATGTATGTATGTGTGTGTGTATATATGTATGTATGTATGTATATACGTACGTATGTATGGGTATATGTTTGTATGTATGTATGTATGAATTGATAATGATAAAATAAATATATAAATATACAATATACGTTCTCCATAGCCAACCTAATAAGAAAGATTTTACTTCATCAATTAAGCGCGCTTTAATGACCATATTTCAAATTTTTATTAAATTTAATTATTAATAATTGATAGAGCTTTTTAAATTAAATGTAAATAAATAATTAATAATTGATTATTTTAATTTATTTTTATATTTATTTTAATTTATTCAACAAATAGATACAAAACGACAAGGATACTAGTATAATGACAGATTTATTTACATAACTTAATCTTTATAAATAAAAAAAAACTTCACAGAATAATATTAACAAATATAATTACAACTAATTATTAACACACAATTATTCATAATAAATTATAATATACTCAAAATTATGTTCTAATTATACACATAATAAAATAAATGGTAATCTCATTCAGTTAATCATACATGTAGAACAATGTGTATATCTACTTAGCAGCGAACACTTCCTTGTTTCTTGCCTGTTATCCCTATTTATATAAACTATTATATATATAAATAGATATATATATATAATATATATAATATATTGTTTGATTAACATGATTTTATATTACCGAAGAAAGAAAAATTAAGAATAGACAAATTACATGGACACGCATGTATATATATATATATGTGTGTGTATGTATGTGTGTATGTATGTGTGCATGTATGTATGCATGTATGCGTGTTTGTATGTTATGTATGTATGTTTTTAACTTATGTATGTATGTGTTTGTATATTGTGTATGTGTAAGTTGAGCTAATTGAACATAGGTTGGTGAGTTAATTTAGTGAACATAGGTAAGTTAGGGTCTCTCTTCTTTCTTTCTTACGTTCTAGTTTATTTGTACTGTTTAGTTTTTGTTCAACACAACACCAACAACAGCAATCAAACACGACAATCAACACAATATTATTTTGGTTACATTTTAGTTAAGTTTTGTTAATTTTAGTTAAGTTATTTATTATTTCTAGACGTATTCGTTACTTATTATTTCTAGACACTGTCGTTTTATTATTAACCCCCCCATGAACGGCTGCCTTGACGTGGCAAGGGGGCTTCTCACTAAATGCCGTTCAAATAAGTGCTTCTACTTCTTCACTTGTTTGTTTTCTTAAAAATGCAATTATCCATCTTTTTCTTGGTTGCATTTTTAAGCGCAATTACTTTTATAAACTATAAAAATTAAAATATAAATTTAATTTTTATAAACAAAAATATTAGTTTCGAACTAAAGAAACTTGACAATGTTTTACGATCTACCGTTAGAAGAATCCAAAAACTAAACAGCAGCTTAACTAGCGCGGAGCGTGCCATAAATTTTTGAAAAGTTTACCGAATGTATGTATGTAGCTAAACAACGTCATCATGACAATTCCCTATGGCAATTTAATAACAGCTAAACAATTTCATCATGAAAATAACGCAAATCCGTGTTCTATATATAGCAGTTTATAATATGTTTATAATTAATTATATATATTAATAAAGGTATGCATCAGTATGAAGCTATATATATATATATATATATGTATATATATATATATGTGTGTGTGTGTGTGTGTATGTACAAATCTATGTCTGTGTATTTATGTTATGAGTGTGTGTGCGTTTGGGTGTATGTATGTGTGTATACTTGTGCATGTGTTTGGTGTGTTTATGAATATGTATGTATGTATGGGATTATGTATGTACTTGTGTATGTGTCTATCTATGCGGTGCTAGATGAGTTTTTTCAGGTTTTACCACTGCCATCCATGTCTTAGAATAGCATTTTATTGTATGTTTTCTGTTCAAGGACTAAATAAATGAAATGAAAATATGTGTATTTATGTATGTATGTTTGTGTGTGTGTGTGTGAAACTCCGTATGTATGTGTTTATTTTTGTATGTTTGTCAATGTATGCCTGTGTGTGTTTGTATGTTGCATGTCATTTATATAAATGATGCCTAGACTTTCTTAAGTGAAGCGCTTCGCGATTTACTTTCTTTTTAATTTAACATGGCGGCGTTGTTGTTCGGAAAAAGTGTTTTTTCATTGCTAATTTTCAACTTTTTTCTTGTTAATTTCGCCGATGATGAAGTTTCAACTCAATCCATTCCTTCCTCTAAGCTGTCGAAGTTTTCTGGTCCCACTCTAAACTTTCTTTTCTGGTTAGTAGCATAGAATCGAGAGTTGATCATCTCAGATCAGAGTTCATTGTCATGTACATTGTCTATTTTAAAATTTAGGCTTAAATATATTTTAATTTTTATGACGTATTTCTAAATGTTAATGATTTTATTATCTTAAAATATATTAGTTAATGATTTTCAGTCTAACTAACTAAAGTCAAAAAACGTTCCCCTATCTATACAAAACCCTGGCCTATACAAATCAACTCACAATTATTTCTAAATAAAATTATTTATTATTTCATAAAAATACTTAATCTACTATACCTTTTATTTTTCCAAAATAGCTAAAATTAAACGTTTTCTGACAAACATTTGCTAGCTTTTCCCAAGTGCCATAGAGAGAAATTGTGACTATGCACTTTTTTCATCAGTTTTTAGTTAAAATAAATAATTACAAATTATATTCCACATTCAGTTACTCGTGAGGGTACAGAAAGGTCTACGACCAGTTCGCCTATGCCATCCACCAAAGGTACCCTGATCTTTTGATTCAGGGTGACAACTACCCTCCACTACCTATGTACGCCTATCTCTCTCAGATTATAGGCTTTGTCAAGATTCTATTCATTATTATAATAGCTTCTGGACAGAATCCTTTAAATTGGGTTAATCTGAATTCACCAACATTTATAACCTGGGCCTTAGAAAACAAAGTTGGTTTTATTGTTGTTAATTCAATAATTATACAACTCTAGTTATCCTAATTATTAATTATAAGTATTTATTTATTTTTAATTATATAAATTATTAATTTAATGTATTTATAATAGAATTTACCATTAAACAAATTACTTAGTTACTTCATTGAAATTTTACACAGATTTATTCATGTATGATATTGTTCTTTGTCTGTAATGCCATTGAAAGTACACTGATATCTACTGGAGCATTTGAAATCTCATTCAATGGTAATTAATATCTGATTAATTAGTAATTTTTAATTAATTATTTAATTTATTATTTAATTAATAGAATTCTATTAATATAATTGTTGAGTGTTTTTTTTCCTAAATTTTTCATTAACCGTCCTAACAAAATCTAGCAAAGAACACAATTTCGATTACGTTTATTAATTTATATTCTATTTTTCCATGCATGTGATTAAAAGTTACACACATTTATTTGTTTGTTTGTTTTTTTATTTTTCCTAAATTTTTAGACGTACCTGTCTGGTCAAAATTAGAGACTGGAAGAATTCCCTCCCCGCAGGAGATGTTCCAGATTTTGGATAACCACATGCGTCTCTTCCAAAAAACGAACAAAGAATTTGATCAATTTTAAAGTCTCCGGTCTGTCTACTTTTGTAAAGAATTAAAAGTTAATCTATGAAAAATGTTCAATCAATGTTGAAAAAATTAATGCCAGGACTTGATTTGACATTACAAAATTAATGCTTGAAAAGTAATGCAATAGAATTGATTAATGCATGTTAATGTTTCAACTTGTAATTGATAAGTAAAAATCTATGTTAATGTTAAGAAGTAAGTATTTAAATTACACTGATCCAGTTTTTTCTTGTTTAGTGGATTGACTGAAGAATGAATTAATGAGTAATTGATAAAATAAAATAAATAAATAACTTAACTAATTCATTTGAAACCTTTTATTTTTGCAGATAGATGGCTCACAGGTGAATGAACGAATGAATGAAGGAGCAAATAAAATGAACAATCAGATATATAATTATATTACATCACACACACACATTCGCATGTGTATGTACAACATACATTTATGACGATAAACACCTAAAATCACATACATTGTGATGGGGTTTGTCTGATGCTTATAGATTTTGGTACCTTTTCAGAGCCCATTTGGATGGCGGGTTCTTTAAGGGTGCCTAATCTCGTATGTTTATATAAGTTATGTGCTGGTGTGTGCGTGTATGTATAATGATATATTTATTCGTTTTTTTTATTTTGTTTAATACTATGTGTTAAAGAACTATTTTTTGATATATATATATATATATATATATATATATATATATATATATATATATATATATATATATTAGATCTATAGTTTTTTGTATGTTCGTTTATGCTGTAAATTTTTCAATGTGTGTTTTATATTGTTTTTTCACATTCATATTAGTAAATTTCGTTTAAATTTGGAAATATATAATGAGTAACGTAGTTATGGAATTAACATATTGTTGTCTTGCCTGAGTTGAGCTGGTTCAGTGGACGAAATTAGGTTCCATTGCTCTATATAAATTGATTTGATTGTTCATTCTCTATTTTAGCAGAACATTCCTTCATAGTTAATAGGGCTGACTGACTCATTCTTATTACAAATTTTAAAAACGTTATTGATTTTATTATTTTCATTATCTTAAATGATAGGATGTGCTGTTTGTTATTGTTGTCACTTAATTAAAATTAGTTAAATATTAATTTATTAATTCATCAGTTAATTTATTTTTGTCTTTTCGATTTTTTTCAACTATATAATACAAAAGTTTTTTTTTCCATTTACCCATCAACGAAGGCGGCTTTTAATTTGAAAACCAGATATGGGGATTTTTTTCTTAAAACGTTTCGTTACAATGAGTAAGTAACTTGGGTTGAATTGTCTCGTTAAAATTTCGGAAAAACAATCACAAAGTTACTGTAAAAAAAAATAGCGAAAATAGCTCAAATTTGCCGTCCGTATAGCAAATTTTTGCCAGCGAGTCACACGAATGAACCCCAGAATAATCCGCACTGGTATTTGTACCTATACACGCGGTACACACACAATAGCGTACGTATATACAACAAAATATAGTACGGTACAGCTACAGAAGCTATGCTACTGAGAAGCAATTGAAACTTTGCTCGTTAAGTGAGTTGTATTCCTGCTGTTGCAAATTGCGTATGTGATATAAAGTGGACATTGGAAGTTGGTAAGATTATTAATTATTTTTCATAATTTATTATTCATAATTATTTAATTAATTAATTGTTTTTCATAATTTATTATTCATAATTATTAAAATTACTATTGTCATTTGTAATTAGTGCTAGCGGCAAATAGCGAAAAACAACTCGCAGGACAGTGTAATGAGTAGAATGCGATTAAATAGAATGAAATGTAGTAATAATAAAAACGTGAAGATAAGAATTTGCTTCGTAATAAGTAGGTATCTATTGATAATTGGTTAGTAGTAAAATTAGTAGTATGGAGTAGTAAGAAGAAGAGATCGAACTATATTCAAATGCGCTTTTGTTAGATCAATTTTAACGGTTAGTTTGTCAAAGTTTTTTTTTATAGAGTCTTAGGTGATTTCGTTGTAATAATTGATTGACTGATTGGTCTCATATTTTGTTAGATAAGTTAGTGAACTAGTTAGTTGGTCTGTTGGATTATTTCAAAGATTTTAAATAACTCTTTTCATAACTCTTCTCTCCTTCACCGTTTGAAATGTTCGAAGTTTCTTCTTATTATTTTTTTTATTCTTTTTCTTCTGTGTATCATTATTACTTTTATTACTATGTAAATACCCCTACACTAATACATAAGTGCATTGCAAAGCAAGGCAATGCTATGTTACGCGCATATAGTTATGCACACACACACACACATATCAACACACTCATACACATACACACACATCAACACATACACACACATGTATTTATGTGTGTAACATAAGCAATTGCGACTAAACCACTTAATATTGATCAGTTTAACAACCCAGATATACGAACATACATTATATCAGACTCATACAAAAAGCATATACATACATACATAAATACACACATACATACACACATACAAACAGACGAAC